AGGGTTGGTTCTTGGAAACGGAGGTCCTGCCTGGGGAGGGGCGAGGACAGACGCTGGTTTCACACTGGAGTCTCACTGGACATTGAGCAAAGCTCTTATTCTCAGTCTGATTTTAGGAGTGGGAAGGGAATGCAAATAGAGCTGGGCTTTTACAGCACCGTCTTTTCTGCCGTGTGTAACCAAGAGAGACATTACTGAGCAGGAACTGCTGAGCTGCTGCCATGGATAAGGGAGAAGAGCAGCAGGTTGCACAGCGTTGGCTAAGCAAGCCCCCTTGTGCCGTCTCCCATGATTGTAGCATTCCTGTTCCTGTCACAGCAGCTGCCGTATGTCACATCTCGGCCATGAGAAGAGGTGAGATGTCATTAACAGTGACAGGTAGAAGTGGTTTATTACGGTTGACAGTCAGAAAGTGAATTCTCATTTACCACTTTGTATGTGTGTCGGCTTGTGTCAGGATTGCTCCCAAGGACAGGATTGTTTCTTTTTCGGTAGGAAATTTGATGCAAAGAAAATCGGGCCCAGTTTTTAGCATTTACTTGGATGCCAGTGGTGTCTGTAACAGCACGGAGTGAGAGGTGGCTCTCCTTCTCTGGCTGTGTGACAACAGATGCAGGGATAGGATTTTATTCGTAGCCTCATTTTCTTTCCCATCCTTTGTTCTCCCCAGGCGAGAGCGAGAGAAGACGGGGCTCCCTTTCTGCTTCGAGAAGGAACGGTGCAGAGGGGTGAAGGTGGCTCGTTCTCAAGAAGGTCTCTTGGAAGCTTGGAAGAGACAGATACAACAATTTAACCGGGTCAGCCTCGAGATGGCTGAGGCTATCGTGTCTGTCTACCCTTCTCCTCAGCTTCTGTACCAGGTGAGGATGCCTCAGGAATACTGAGGACTATGTGCAGGCAGCCAGCTAACGTAAGGAGGGGAAGAAATAATTTAATTGGTATTAAGTTGGACACAACAATTCTGTGTGAGCTGTTTAGTAAGGCAGTGAGGGAACTGATGCCACGGCACCCACGGCTTTGGCCTTACAGAGCAGGCTGCTGAGGGAGCAGTATTGGTTCTGCCTCAGCCTGGAAGCTCCCAAATGAGAGCTGGGGAGAGACGGGGTGAAAAAGGAGTGTCCGTTGTGAAAGGGTGGCGCCGTCACAGGCGCAGAGCTTGGATTATTTTTGTGAGCAACGGATGCAAGTGGATGACAGCGCTGTTCCTTTGTGTTGCTTTTAGGCCTACAGCAGATGCTCCTCGGAGCAGGAGAAGGAAAACCTGCTGGTGAATATCCCCGTGTGCCGCGGCGACGGTGTGACAGCCACCTCCCGGCGGATCGGCCCAGAGCTCTCTCGCCGGATCTATCTGCAGATGACGGCCCCCGATCCTGGCCTCTATTTGTATTTCACTGGGTAGCCCCAGGGAATGAGGATTTTAGTGTTTGCTTGGTTTAAGTTTTCTTCCGGGCAGAAGGACTTAGAGAACAAACAGTCATCGATCCTCGTTTAAAGGCTTAAAACAGATTTAGAACTGATTGTAGCAGAAGAAGGTTGGATGAAGTTGCTGAACTGGTGGAGTTTACAGAAGAAAGACAGTGAACATCTTCCAGAAGAGCCCGAGTTGGACATGGTTGAGAGTAGACAGTTCCTTTTATTTATTTTATCCAAAATAAATTATTTATTTTGAATAATAATGATCTTTGCTTCTTAAGATGCCGTCTTGAATGTAGACAGGTATGTCATCTGTTGAAAGGAATACTTTCTACTGCAAGTAGTTATCTTCCCTCTCCACTGGGAAAAATCCTAATGCTAAAGCAACACGGTGCTGCCCCCCCTGCACCTGCCCTAGGGAGGTGGAAGAGCTTTGCCTCAGCAAAGAGACTCAGTGTTCCACTGCAGCAGATGGGAATGAGTACGACTAATTTTCAGCTATAAATTTAGACTGCCCTGATTCAGCCTCCAGACGGCTTACTCGATAGAGGGTCTTGAAATCTGATTATATGCGCTGGAATGACGAGATCTGAACAGTTTGCAGAAAAAAAGCTCTCTTTTCATTAGATTGGGGAGCATGCTGTTAAGAGAGGGTCAGAGAGTGAGCGACGAAGAAAGAGGGTCGATTTGTGGATGGAAGGGCTGAAAAAAGGAATACCTAGAGAAGGAATGGACAGACAACCCACTGGAATCTTAAAAATATTCCCATCCAATTGGATTAAAGAAAAGCCCAACATCCCCTCGGCACCCTCTTTCCCGATTCGCGCCTGTAAGACCGAGGAGACAAAAAATGAGCAGCAGGGAAACGATCTCCTCCTCCCCCTGTAAGTGAGTCAGGGGGAAGAGGGTGGCAATATTGAAGGGGGCTCACTGAAAATGAAAAGGGCGGTTTGGTGATTCCTTGTGCCATTGGGCAAAACGCTCTCTCACCAGTCCCCGCAGAGAGGGTTGTAAAGCTGCCAGGCAAGACACAAGTTTGATCCCCGACTCCCTTTCTGCCTACGAGAGAATACCACCAGCAAAAATCCTACTGCACGAGTGCACCAGTCGGCGTGGCAACATCGACATGGAACTCGCACACTGTTTAAAAAATCTTGGTCTAGTACTAATCAAAGTAAGTAGGGATGTAACTGTGTGCGGAAAAATGAATCGGGGGCGTGGAAATGTAAATATTGTGATTGATATGGAGATCAAACCATTTTAGGAGGACCACTAGGACCGGGAAACACATTGTATTCTGAGCAACCCATCGGCTCTGCAAC